CGACGGTTTTTCCCTAGGAAAAAATTCTGTTTTTCCCCGCGTCGAGAGGAAGGCCGCTTTCATATTGTGTGATGGAGGACTGAATGGGACCTTCAAAGGAATTTCATGCGATGAATGACGAAGGAGGGACTTGCGAGTAACAGGGCTGTCGTCAACGGGGGAAAAGGGAAGTAAAATATATGGGGACTCGTATGGTGGTGTTATTTATGTAGTATATGCTATGATGCTTGGATTTTCCTTTATATAGCGTATAATTCCTAAAGTTGCGATTTCCACGTCTGTAACGCAACTTAGACCAGTCAGCTTACATCCCGCATTTTCGAAGCTTTTGGAACGGGAAATGAAGATACAAATATATCAGTATATTTTCAGTAATGAAATAGTTCCATAAATGCAGTCCGGATTCAGGGAAAACCATAGTACAACAACTGCTCTAGCCAATGTCACTGATGATGTTATAATAGGCCTTGATCAAGGAAATATCACTTGTTTAGTTCTGCTGGATTACACAAAAGCTTTCGATATGATAGACCCTGAAATTCTGCTACTTAAGCTGTATTACTATGGTTTTACTGATGCTGTAGTCAATTTGATAAGCTGCTATTTGTCAAATAGAAATCAAAAGGTCTTAACAGCTTCAAAAATGTCACAGTCAACTGCTATAAGTTTTGGTGTTCCTCAAGGTTCCATACTGGGACCTTTACTTTTCTCTATATCTATATATATATATATATATATATACAGGGTGACTTTGAAGTTGAGTCATTAATTTTCAGATAATGATTGTAGAAGGAAGATAAACCAAAATATGTGTGTAAAAATAAAAAAACATTAAAAAAAATGTTACCTTGTTTTATAAAGTATCCTCCCGACAAGTATTTCAGTGCGGACCTGTATTTGATCGTGCGGTCTTGGAGCACCGGCAGGCCCTCCCCTGTAAGGTCTTAAGTCTCCTGATTCACGAGCCCTTTTTACTATATTAACAGAGGCACGAGGGGTTGGTTGCACTCGATTGGGAAACCGATTCGCACAAATCCGTGATGCCGCGGCAGCATTTTGTAAAGAAATAAGAAATAAGAATCATGTCCACAAGTTCAGAATTTTCGTAAACATGTGCCATTTTTTATTTCATTTGAGCCACGCAACAAACACCACTATTCACTCACGCGTTACCGACTGACGAAAAAGATCGTGATAAACGTTTCAAATTCGATGAACCGATAACGCGGATTATATCCGTTGTTGCCAAACACGAGCACATAATATTATTATTGAGACAGGGCGGTACTCAAACCTCTAAAGGGCTATAACTTTGTTACTTTAATTTTACCAGAAAAATGTTAAAGGAAAAAAACATTTCTTTTGATCAGATCTACTCACTGTTAAAATAAATGACTCAACTATAAATATCGGATTTTCATCAATATGTCTATAATTGCACAATAAATCACTATGCTGATGATACTCAAATTTATTTTAGTTTTCAACACGAAGATTTTAAAATAGCAGAAGCATTGCTTAACGAAGACTTAACAAGGCTAGTAGACATCTCGTGCTCGCATAACCTAAAAATTAATTTATCTAAATCTTCAGTTATGGTTTTCGGCTCAAATTAACCTTAAAATCTATGATTGCCGGCTTCCTATAATGAATGAGTGTAAAAACCTGGGACTCTGGATTGGCACAGAACTAGAATACAAAAAACACGTGAATTCGTTATGTAGTGCATCATACTGCATTTTGAGGCAGTTCTATCCACATAGGCAAATAATATCTACTTCAGTAAAGCTGAAACTGTGTGAAACATTAATTATATCAAAGATCAGTTATTGTGACAGTATAGTAGTACCTAGTAGTAACAAAGCAAATTACAGCGTATTCAGAATTCGTGCGTCAGATTTTCTTGCGGAATACGAAAGTTTGATCATATTTCTTACAAATTTAAGGAACTTGGTATTCTGCAGATTAAAGGCATGCAAAGACTTCACATATTGACCCTCACACATAAGGTCTTAGCTACCAAACAACCACAATATTTGCATAATAAGTTAACACGATGTAGTAACTGAATACAAGGAATAGGAATATGTTAGTGATACCCTTACATTCTAAGGCTGTCTACAAAAAATCATTCAGCTACAACGCTATTAAATTATATAATGATCTGGCTGTTACATTCCAAAACTATACATTATTTAATTTTAAAAAGAGGCTTAAACTAAAACTACAAGTCGAGATCTGATGATGAATACAAAATGCTAGAAATATGGACTATTCTTGTAATTGTTCTGTTTTTTTTTTTGTTGTTAATTATTTAGTAATTATTGAGAATTATGGATACATTTTTGTTGGTGGAATGTTTTATTATATATATATATATATATACAGGGTGACTTCGAAGTTGAGTCATTTATTTTAACAGTGAGTAGATCTGATCAAAAGAAATGTTTTTTTCCTTTACCAGTTTTCTGGTAAAATTAAAGTAACAAAGTTATAGCCCTTTGGAAGTTTGAGTACCGCCTGTCTCAATAATAATATTATGTGCTCGTGTTTGGCAACAACGGATATAATCCGCCTTATCGGTTCATCGCATCGGAAACAAAAAAGCGAAAGAATTTGGAACGATGTTTTTACAATTATTTTATTCAGTTGTATACAGTCAGTGTCAGTCGGTAACGCGTGAGTGAATAGTGGTGTCTGTTGCGTGGCTCAAACGAAATCAAAAATGGCACATGTTTACGAAAATGCTGAACTTGTGAACATGATTCTTATTTACGCGGCATCACGGATTTATGCGGATCGGTTTCCCAATCGAGTGCAACCAACCCCTCGTGCCTTTGTTAATGTAGTACAAAGGGCTCGTGAATCAGGTGACTTAAGACCTCACAGGGGAGGGCATGCCGGTGCTCCAAGACCGCACAATCAAATACAGGTCCGCACTGAAATACTTGTCGGGAGGATACTTTATAAAACAAGGTAACATTTTTTTTTATTTTTTTTTATTTTTACACACATATGTTGGTTTATCTTCCTTCTACAATCATTATCTGAAAATTAATGACTCAACTTCAAAGTCACCCTGTATATATATTTTGTTAAGATTAAGGTTAAGGCTTTTTTGTACTTTTACTTAGGTACGAAATAAAGCCCATTTATTATTATTATTATTCCTGTAACAATAAGCAAACAGTCCTAGTGGAGGATATATCAAAGCTTTAAGATAAGAAGTCTGAAAAGGCTAGCCCTGCCCAGCAATTGGCGTAAAAAGGCACGACATACATCAGTACCCAAATCAAGTACCGCGCGATGTGTAAGTTAATCTAACTATCGATTTACAAATAGACTTGAAAGAAACGAAATTTGTACATTACTAATGTAATAACGCAGTTTTTAATTTGATGTTTGTTTCAGGGTGTATTCAATATTCTACTATAACAAGAGTATATTTAGATCGTTTTCCTTGATGTTTCCGTCCCGAGCTGCGTAGATTTGTTTATACGGTATAAAGACCGTCAAGGTGGGCACCGTAGAAAATAAAAAGAAATCAATGCATATGAGTAGAGGATGTGATGTAAAGATAGCTGAAACGCTGAAAAAACCTCAAAACAGAAAAAAACGTTCTACCTCTACCTCCAGGACTCAACAATCAAACCGGGAACATTTATGCAATCGTTAACGAAAATAAGTACTAATGTCTCACAAAGTCGAACAAAACAAAAATATAATTATCTAAAACGCTACTAACTGAACTATATAATTATGGCACATTATATAGTTAGGAGAAAAGTTAATTAAATATGTCAATCCTAGACTTCTAGTGGAATCTAGGAACAAAGAAGTTGAGTTATTCTAAGATGACACTGAAGTCTATAATGCCATAGATAAGATTGTGAAGCAATTGAACTGAATTCTTTTTGTAAATATAAGAAGACGCTAAAAAACTTGTTTCTGCTAGCTGGCTTACGAAGAAATATCCTCAACCACAGGGGAAAAGAATATAGTAATAATAAAAAAACTAGACAGTCACACTTGGGTGTCTCTCTTGCCATTGCAAAAACCAGTGGCGTACAGTTTCGATAAATTCAAACACTCAGTGCCACAGAAACGGGGAATTTCCAGACTTACGTTCAAAATTTTTTTTCAATGTATACGTGTTAAATCTACCTCTAAATGTTCCCAATGTGACACCCTGTATTGCATTGCTGTTATGCTGTATTAGTGTCACGATGAGGAAGTAGATGTAAATGAAGTCGAAACATTATTGTATTGGGAATAGCTTGGTATCAGGTTCCGCAAGAAATAAAGACTTGTGTTTGTAAACAACACCAATATTTTATTTTTATTAAAAGCTAAGTTATCAGACGTGGGGGATTAACAAATAGGTCTACCTACCATGAAACAGCTGTTTGCATTTAAACAAACAATATTGAAATGGTGCCATAGGGTCTAACTATAATTTAGGCAACCTCCTCTTTTGAAAGCGTCGGAGTGGGAGTACTGACACAAATTATGCAGTTTTCGATTTAGTAAACTAGCAGACAGACACACATTAGCCATGAGAGCTTGAAAAAAGCACATAAATATATGGTGATAATAATTGCGACAATATATTGCTTCATAGATATTCAAAAAGGACCAAATGAGCAATGACGGTACTGTGCCCAGGACGCTTAGCAACTCGCCGCTGCGATACCGCCAGAATTGTTAGGTCGGGTTTTCCATGAATATTTACTAGGGGGAAATGCGATGGTCCAGGTGATAGTGAGAAGTCTTTAGCGAAGATGAATGGCCGGCTGAGTAGGGGACATTAACTTAAATGCGATTGGCGTCAACACCTACGTTCTTCCTTCGATTCCAAGCTTCTTTTGTGGGGCGAAATGGAGTGGTAGGAGTGACCTATTTAAGAGGTAATCTCAAGCAGTAGATCAAAATAAATGTATTTCAGTTCAATTATTGATAAATGTAGATATACCAAATACTATTAATATTTTCTCTATCAGGCATGAATGAACAGTCGCGTTACCAAGATGTTGCAGACTACCTAATCGTACTGAAATTATCAGATACTGAACGCGGTAACCGTCACTACACTATGATATGAACATGAGGGAGTCGAGCGGGATATCACCAGTTGAAAGCTGTCCTGAAGTTACTCTAAGTAGTACATTGGAAAGATAATAAAAAAGTCAGAATTATATTTTAAACATACAAAAATCGTATACCCGTAATAGATATTAGTCTAATTCTAAGTGCGCTGGAAACAAAGTATCGACCATATATAACGGAGTCGGTGTAAAGGTAAGAAAACCAGGATTTAAGATTAACAGCTATTAAGAGAGAATCGCTATAAAAAGTAAAAGCTACAAAAGTGACCATATATTACTGTGCATCTAACTATTATACAGGTGATTGATGAAAATAATATTTACACCACAGCTTTAAAGCATATCCTTTCTGCAGTTTCACTAACTTCTGTGGGGGGCAATTATTTGTTATAGTAACTTATTTCTACTGTTCGGAATAGCAAGTAAAAAGTCGTGTCAACCTGAGATAAACGTCCAATGGGGTAGACGTAATGTATGATAGAAGAGAAGTAACAGAAGATGGAAGTAAAATTAGATATAGCAGTGGTACTGGGAAAAGGTGCTTAATTGAAAATCAAAATCACAAGGAAAGCGATCTATTCGGGATTCTGGAAGTGGTCAGACATCTTGAAAACCACATTGGAGCAAACGACAATAGTAATTGTCAGATTTATCATTTATTCAGCAACAGCCCTTATTTTCAACTCTCCCCCGCCGGGTAACCAATTCTTGAAAAGGGTTATAGAATAGCTAGTAATAAGTATTTTATTGCCTTTTCGGACAAGTTTTGACGTTTATCAAATAAAATTGTCAATGCATCAGTTTTCAACAAAATAATGTTTTTAGGGTTTAACAAATCATATCACAAAGTTAACTTCGTCTTTAGAAGAGAGACCTAATGCACTTTTTCTATCAATAATCATTCGGGAAGCGGCTATTCTATTAGCGTTCTCCCAAAAGTATGAGAACTACGCCCATTTTATCCCGGCTATTCTATTTTCTCATTTGAAGAATTCGCCTCCGGAATGGAAAACACGTATAGTATAGTATGCCAAAATCACGTAACCTTTTTTACTATTTTGATCACTTATCAGTAGTTTGAATTTCTCTTTATTAATGGTAGATTGCCGATTTCTAGGCCAAACCCTTTTCATTGATTTTATTTTGGTAAATTTCATAGTTTACTGATTGTATACTTTCACACTATTATATCTTTCTTTCTCAGCGACTCAGTATTGTGTTGAAATATTTTGGACACTAATGTTATAGTATTATTAACAACTACCTTAGAAATTTCCTCACAAAATTTTGTTGGTCCCTCGTAGAGAGAGTTCGTTTTGCCCATTTGCAACCAGCGCGCCACCTTGGGATTTCTACATGTACTAGCCGTAAATAAATATTTGCTTTCCTGTCAAGATACCTTCTTCACCGATCAATATACATTATTTACCTGTCAAGATCCTTTCTTTACCGGCTTTTCTCCGTTCCTTTTGTCGATCGCTCAACCTTTTATTTTGTACCTTACGTTTAGTTGTTTTGGCTTGGGTACTACCCCGTCCATTTTCTTATGGGATTTTAACCTTCAGCGGTAAGTTCTTTTTTTTATTCCATCAGATCACGTGCCTCAATGCATGTCCTGAAGAAGTTGGTTCAATATCTGCTTCGTTTTAGTGGGAATGCATTGCGGAGAACCACCATTCACATTCCTCCAGCTTTGTTTTGTAGCTGCCTTGTAGCTGTTTCGCTGCCGATTTTGTTGGAAGCCTGCTGCTATGGGCAGAATCCCCTTCTTTATGTCCATGGTTTGTAACAGAGAGTCTTAAAGCTATCTCCATCATGCGATGGAAGGGTACTCAAAACATACAGGAGCATTGCGACAACTATAGTGTTTTTACTCTGGCTATAGCACCCATCAGAAAATAAAACAACTTTTGTTTTATCTTGCCTGGAATATTCCTCTAAAATTTTAAAAAGGCAAGTCGCTATCTCCGAGCGCCCTCTCTTGCCTGCTATTTCATGCCACACAAAGCAATAACAATCTTTACTAGCGAAATCATATAAAGTGAGGATCAGCAGTACAGCATCGCGGTAGAAGGATTAGAAGACCAGAAGATCACGATGTCGTATCTGCAAATAAACTTAGATACGACAGTTCGTGACTTTCTTTGAATGCGCTAAGGCAGATATGTTGAAATCAAATATTAAAATTACTCAACGTTGAAAATTCAGATACGACACCTTGTGAGAAGGAAGTGGCGACTTTATAATGCTCCTAACTGGCCTAACTCAAATTTGCAAAAAATGTCAAATACGACACTTCGTGTTTTGGGGGACGATATGTGCTGCTTGTTTTGAAAATATATTGTGACTTTTCTCAAATATCTTGTTTTATTTGGCTCTCTGTATATAGTTAATTAGGTTCCCTCATTGCTGTTAGATTCTTTTTTTTGTGTGGAGGTCAAGCAAAAGATGTTCCGACTAACATCTCGATGATTTGTGGCTTAATCCGTCTTGAGTCAATGGCGCTCTTAACCCCCCTACTCTCCGCTTTATACAGGGTGACTTTGAAGTTGAGTCATTAATTTTCAGATAATGATTGTAGAAGGAAGATAAACCAAAATATATGTGTAAAAATAAAAAAAAATAAAAAAATGTTACCTTGTTTTATAAAGTATCCTCCCGACAAGTATTTCAGTGAGGACCTGTATTTGATCGTGCGGTCTTGGAGCACCGGCATGCCATCCCCTGGGAGGTCTTAAGTCACCTGATTCACGAGCCCTTTGTACTACATTAACAAAGGCACGAGGGGTTGGTTGCACTCGATTGAGAAACCGATTCGCATAAATCCGTGATGCCGCGGCAGCATTTTGTAAATACTTTTTATTTCGTTTGAGCCACGCAACAAACACCACTATTCACTCCCGCGTTACCGACTGACACATTGACTGAATACAACTGAATAAAATTGTAATAAAAACATCGTGATAAGCGTTTCAAATTCTTTCGCTTTTTTGTTTCCGATGCGATGAATCGATAAGGCAGATTATATCCGTTGTTGCCAAACACGAGCACATAATATTATTATTGAGACAGGGCGGTACTCAAACTTCTAAAGGGCTATAACTTTGTTACTTTAATTTTAACAGAAAAATGTTTAAGGAAAAAACATTTCTTTTGATCAGATCTACTCACTGTTAAAATAAATGACTCAACTTCGTAGTCACCCTGTAGTAGAACTAGGGCGTAAATTTGCACGCCTCTAGACAGCTGTTTTGCATTGACTGGCCCGTTGATTTAATTTATAGTGATTTATTGATTTATTAATTGAATAAAAAAAAGAAAGAGGAATCACACCACGTTTTTCTCTTGTTTATGAAAAAAAGGCGTGACAAACATGAATCCAGTAATTCAACTGGCTCAACCACCTTCATGCTTTCGACTAACCCTGTATGATGTTACGTAAGTGAGCGGTTGGAGCAGCGACGGTTGGCGTGATTACCAACCGTTACAAACCGCACGGATTGGCGGTGTAATAAATAAAAAGGCAGGGCATCGCGGCGGCTTGCACCCGCAGCCCAACTGTTGATTTACTAACTTCATTCGACCTAGCTCGGGACGGTTCTGTTACAACGCCGATAATATTTCGATTGCGGCTTCATTTTGGGGAGACCGGTCACGGTTTATGAGGCCTCGCGTTCCGCTAGGTCACCACATATACCCGAAAGATTGAATTATTTGGAAACGGATCATAAAGGGCACCCCAAATTCATACAACGCGATTTTGGTTCAGCTTTATTCGGATTTCAGCATAAAGCTTAGTCGCTCATTGCAAGTGTACAAAATGAAGTTTATATATGACACAAAAGGAAAATAAAGGGTGTTTTATAAAAATAAATATTTATAGGAGCATAAAATGTTTTCGAGAGAAAAATCGTTTTTATTTTATATCTTCTGAAGTAATTTATTATTTGACATATTTTAGTATTAAAAGTTATTTTACTACGCCATCAGTAGCGTTCCTGCAAATATGTCATCTAATTTACAAAAAAAAAGTTCGCCACTGACATAGTCGTATATGCTGACATATGCTCCTATCAACCTTTCTGTATACCTAAACTACCCTGTAAATTGCATATACGAGCCCCTTCCCACTTCAGTTGGCCCAACAAGCATTCCATGTTGACTGTCTGAAGAGAAAAGTGAACTTTCCAGCATCCATTATGGTCTGGGGCAGTATGTCATCAAAAGCACTAGGAAAACTTCATGATGGAAATGTGGATACAAACAAATATTTGGCAATTTCGCAAAATCGCTTTTACCAGTGATGGAAGAATGTTTGACATCCGGCCAAGATTTTGTGTTTCAGCAAGATGGTGCAGCGTGCCATATCTCAAAAAAGGCTATAAAATAGATGGAAGAAAATAATGTACCACTTTTGAAATGGGTTTCTAGCAGTCCAGATCTGTCACCTATTGAAACTTTGTGGCACGAGATGAAAAAGGTTCTACGACAACAGCCTGCTCGTACAATCACCGAACTGAGACAAAAGCTTCAAGAAATATGGGATTGTTTTACACCAAATTTTTGCCAAAACTTGGGTTAACACTATGCCTCAAAGAATTTCAGCCGTAATAAAAAATAAAGGTGATGTTACCCAATGGTGATCTTTCAATTGTTGCTTTGTTAACTTCGCGCATTTATTCACACATTGTCTATTTGTTCAGATGCTCTATTAGTTATAGGTCTAAGTGATTTCAAATATGTATTTTTTACGACTAGAGTGGTGTATCTAAAATGTTTTTGAGAAAATAAATTGTTTTAGAAGTAAATAGTTTCGTCATGTTTAGTTTATAAAGGTATATTTTGATACAAATCTTGAAGTGGGCCAACTGAAGTGGGAAGGGGCTCGTAGTATAAAAACTATTAACTTACTCTTTGGTAAAAGTGAATATCGCCAAGCATTAAACCATCATAGCTCCCTGCGAATGTTGGACACAAATATATAATAAAATACAAT